AGATATATATACCCACGACAAGTGAATGTACACACATATACCGGGTATACATACGGTATACATGTACATACCCACGACAAGTAAATGTACACAAATATACCGGGGATACATGTACATACCCACGACAAGTAAATGTACACAAATATACCGGGGATACATGTACATACCCACGACAAGTGAATGGACACACACATCTACCGGGTATCTCTACCCAGAACAAATAAATGTGCACACATATACCGGGTATACATACACACGACAAGTGCATGTACACACATATACCGGGTATCTATACCCACAACAAATGAATGTACACACATATACCGGGTATACATACCCACGACAAGTGAATGTACACACACATCTACCGGGTATCTATACCCAGAACAAATAAATGTGCACACATATACCGGGTATACATACCCCCAACAAGCGTTCAAAACCAGTGTATGTACATCTGTATACACATATACCAAGTAGGAGTGTGTGTATACAAATACATCTGGTAAACATACTGACAGCAAGTGCAAGTACACATATATATCGAATATGTACATATATCGGGTATACATACTAACACCAATTGAATGTATGCACATACAGTTATATACCTGGTATACTTACTGACAACAAGTGTTTTTACATATATATATATACCGCGTATACATTCTCACAACATTAGTGTGTACACACATTTACCGGTTGTACACACTCATTAGAATGGCCTGTAATCACATATACCGGGTATACATACTCACAACAATGGTATGTGACCACATTTTGTAAGATCAAGTTCAAGTTCTATATTAACTTTAAGTCTTGCGACTTATCAGTGTAAACATGTTATAAACAGGATATGTACATATGTACAAAAAGCCACATTGGTCACAAGAGAATGAACAATACACGTATACAGACTGTCATATATCTGATCGGCGCTTATTTGCCGCTATCAGATACTTTCCAAGATTACATAATTCTTTAATAATCTGTGTATTAAGTAATTGAACAAGCTTATATACACTAGGGTTATTTCTATAATAACATTTTAAATACTTCGGTTCCGTTATACAGATGTAATCTGTATAATTTGTGAAAGCTAAAACAAAATGAAAATCGTCTTCTATGTCATTAAGATTACATTTTGTACATACTTTATTAGTTCTAACAGTGCCAGCATAACGTCCAGATTCAATGTTTAATTTGTGAGCTAACAGCCTAAGTCGAGCAATTTTTTTTCATATAACCGATATTAACTTATTTTTTTAGATACGATTGTAGTAAAATTGTACTATTTAATTCTCTGTAAAGCATACCTTTTGACATACATGTACCTGTAATCAAACTATACCCCTCTTGATTAAAAATGTCAAATAATCTTAATAATTAAAAAAAGTGAAATTGTTTCCATTCTGAGCGCCCCAGATATATCCTTAGCCTAAACGATACAATTCATCTTTTATTTCACAGACCCATGGATCCTTGATTAGCAGCATATTTTCAAAACAGGATTTCAAAATACAGTTTTCGGTATTGAGCAATAGAAACCAATATTCAAATATTTTTAGTTTCCTTGTGACATGCAATGGATAACGGCCTAATTCGAAATGCACCTTCATATTCGGAGTGGATTTGCGCACACATAGAAACCTTTTACAAAAATCTACATGTAGTTTTTCGATGTCGGGGCCTTTATGGACTCCCCATACTTCTGATCCGTAGTTGACTATACTACTGACATAAGTATCACCGAGTCTCAATATTAAAATACTGTTTTTTACATACACCCAATAATGCAAACAATGCCTTTCTTCCTTGTTCAGATATTTTTTTTCTGTGTTTGTTTAAAGTTCCCATTATAATTCAATAAGATTCCAAGATAGTTGAATTCATTCACTATCTCTAACACACACCCGTCATATTCCCATTTTTCATTATCTTTTAATCTTCCTCCATTTCTAAAAACAACAATATTGGTATCTAAAGTATTTATAATAAGGTCCCACTTGATAGTGTAATTAAACAAAGAGTCTAGCATCTTTTGCAAACCTTTTACAATGTCCTGTAATCACATAAACCGGGTAAACATACTCACAACAATGGTATGTGACCATATTTTGTAGGTAAACACAGTCACAACAAGTGTCCATGAAGACTTGCCAGGTATACTACATCCACCGCCAGTAGCTGTACACCGCAGATTGGCTACTCCGCGTAGTGCTGTATTTTTCAAACAAATAACATGAAACCTCGAATGGTTATCCCTGCCATATATAGACAATGCTCTAAATGACTTTGTTTGCATTGTTTATTTTCTCTGGCAAAACATTGTGATTCAAATGGAAAATCTTTTTTGAAAATGGTTTCGCGGATATTTTTTGATACATCCATCGATATCCATGCAATACTCCTGATCCTTGTTGTTCAAACTGTATAAAATCAGCATCTGTCATAATGTCAGCTTCATGTTTATATCTGTACAATGATGCTTTGTGCAAAAGCCTTATCAATTGTCTGCTATAGAGGGAAAATCCATGTCTATGGTTTAAAATCCAACAAATGTCAACATGCTTTAAACCAAATAAGAAATAATTCTTCAACAGCTCGCCACCATAATCAGCCATTATCAAAGTGAACGAGAGGCTGACATTCATTCGTTTAAACGAAATAATATTTCGAAAAAACGAAATAGCAATTCGTTATAATGAAATAATATTTCGTTTTAAAGAATTAATAATTCGTTTTACCGATATAGCGTTATAAAAATTCGTTAAAACGAAATTAAAATTCGAAAAAACGAAATAATAATTCGTTAAAACGAAATAATAATTCGAAAAAACGAAATAAAATAAGTGTGCAGCATTCCAGTTAACGGGCTCCGTACGAACGCTATGTTCAATACCTTTTTTTTTTTAACTTAATTCAAATAAAAAGTAAATAATTTACTCTTGTTATTGGTTGATAGTGATATATCATAGTGTGTGACAATTTTTATTGTTTATTTAATCATCATTACTATTTTTGTGGCATCATTGTCTTTTACTACTCTTAGCAGTAAACTTATATTCACAACACATTTACTACCATTATAACCATAAGTCCTGTGATCAGAGGTAAATACTAATAACGAATAATCAGAAAAACAAAATTCAAATGATTCACCATAATCACGTTTCAGCAGGCAACCTTAGATAATGCAGCCTTTGTGTATTTTACAGTGCTCTTAGTCAACACTTACATGTTTGTTAATAGTTACCTCGCTAGGGGTCTTCACTTTGTATAAACGTTTATAACATGAAAGTGATTTACTGATTAGTAAACGTTACCTGTGTGACAAAAAATGACCATCGTCTTAGTTCAGTGTCTGTGTATATAAGTATTTATTTTCAAAATGTTTATACAACTAACAGTCAAATCATTATCTGCCTAAATATTTGACCAAATTTGAGAAAACTGAATGGCTTGAGCCGACTGGATCGAAACTTTCCTAATGGAAGATTTCGCATCACCGAGTGAAAATTACTCTTTTGATTTAATAGTAGTGTGATAGGTTGTCATTTTACGAGAAGGCCGTACCACATGGAATGAACAGTGTATTAGGAGAACAGTGTAAACATTTACTTGTTTGTTTGTGGTGTGGGGTGGAGCGACGCCGTTCGAAATATTACTGATGTAGCATTACTTTTCGAACCTTGGCGCAATGGAAAGTTTTACAGTATCTAGGAAAAGACATGGTCTATAATTAAAAACAAACCCACAATATTAAGGACATTTATTCAACCGATAGCTAACAAGTTCGATTCCAAATGTATGTGTAATAAATAGACTGATTGCTCCAAAAGTAACAATTGTATATTCCTGTTGAACTGGTATGGCAAGTGAAGGAGAAAACCTATAGTATCACGTATAAAACTCTTCTCCTAACCATAGATAAAAAAGGTTTCGGTAACAAGTCAATAAAGATGACTTTGACATTGAGTAATAATCTCTAAACCACTAACTAGAGGCCTGGATTTTAGATAATCGGGGGATTTTCGGAATGTATTCAAAGCCTTGCTCTTTGATTGCGTATTGCTTTTAAGATCAATTCACTTTTGGTAATCGTAGGAAGACTATACAATTGATTTGAGCGATATCCAAAGTCAGTAAGATATGAAACTTCAGTATCGTAATATATTCCTGTTATGATTTTGTACAAGACTCGTTTTATATTCTGTCTCGACATCATAGTCTCTGAACTGTGTCAATAATTGTTTAAAGGATGCATCATCCGATTTCATTTTTTACAAGTTGTGCATAAAACTGATCATCCATCACCACATTAATTCCACTTGTATCTGTCGCTTTTTACACAATAGACATATCACAAACTAAATTCCGTAAAGCTGTGCACTGTTTATAAGATTATTTCAGTATGTTGTTTTATAATGGATATCTACGTGATAGTGGTTCCTCTATAAACAATGTCGGCATATTTAAGCTTAATCTATTTCGAATTAGAACTAACTACCGATTGGTTATCATTGCCCTGTTCACCGTGCATTTTTTAACCAATTGACTTACTACCTTATGCTTGCATATTGTTTTTTTCGAAACGTTCACATCTGTTTTAGGTGTGGGACAAAACTTAATACTTATTTTTTTTTTAAAACCAACATATTTCATCAGTTGATAGAATTTGGATAACAAACTTATAATAACAGGAAATATATCTAATTTTGTATATTTATCCACAGATTGTTCTTTTACATTTTTGCTGTAAAATTATCAGCCTTCGTCTTGGTCTTAATATAATTCTGTCCAATACATGGTGATCCCTTGTTTAAAACCGGAAGTGAGGCACATTTGTCATGTTATGGTCTCGTTTACTCGGCAGAGGAGTCGGTGTTTTCCCGTCGTTATATTCGTTCCTGTTTGGTGTGTTTGTTTGCTGTTTGTGTATAGAGGTCTATGTTGATAGAAACTTTCTCCTGTAGAAATTCAGTGAAGAAAGAATGATTCTTCCCCCGGACAATCAGTGGTTGGAACACACTGCCTCCTGAAATGGTATCAGCTGAATTTCTATCTGCCTTTAAAACAGCAATCTCATCCTCTAAAATGTTGTTTTTTTTAATTTTATTTCACAACCTACATGATATAATCTTCAACCTGTTGAAGTCGGTCATAAATTGGAATTTATAGAAGGTTGTATGTTTACACTCTAACGTGGCCAGTCTAAATTGTAACTATTATAAAAATTATACATATTTATATACAGATACGATATACAAATGTAGTTCTTAAACAATTATTTCATTAACATTATATGGAGCAATACATTGAAATCATATTCTATCCTTGAGTGTTTGTTTATCACATGATCGTGATATGATCGATTATGGATTGAATGTGATTGTTCTAATACAGTTACATGTACCAGTCATTAACTATTAGGAGTAAAACAGGCCATGTTTATGGTAGAAATTTGTTAAAATCTGTTAAGATCTGTTGTTAAAATCATACCGTTCAACGTTTATGGTAAGTGTCCTGACATTGAAAATGTGGCACCGCTGATTATATCAAGAGCTATACGAAATTTCCATCCATATTACTATTCCGTCCTCTTTTCTTGAAACATTTGCGTGTATTTGTTTACCATATATATGTTCATTTTTAATATTTAGCTGATTTAAGTGGGATAACTGTTCTGCGATGAGAGCAATCAGTGTTTTGATCCTTGTGTCGATATATTGGTATATGTGTGCACCTGTGTATGGTATACATATTGTGTAAAGCTGCTTGACCGTGTCTAGTAAACATAAATGTGCAAGGTATCGATGGGTACGAGTCAGCAAATGTGAGTGTGTCAGGTATCGGGGAGAAGTGCGGTTGTGCTTGGGCGTATACATGATATCAATGACACTAAGCGAAGATCAAATATCAAATTTAATATATTTGCAAATACTGGAACAATGAGTACGCACATTTAAAAAAGTCGACCTAAACAAGTCGACATTGCCCCCTGTACACAGTTGTATATAATATTTTCATCCTTTTCATTGGTTTTGTTTTGTTTGTGCTTTACGTCCTAAAAAGGTATTCGGTTAAATATACTGTTGTTAGTCTTTGAATGCACATTATTAGAGGATATAGAATAAAAACGCGACAACTACACCTGTGGTATATATACCTGTATATCACTGATTAACTTGTCAATGATATAGTAGCTGTGACGTTTCAGGCCCAACACCTGCAATTCTAAACCCAGATGGGAACTGAAGCAGATAAATCTAAAGCATACTTAAAAAAAGGCTGCCTAACAAAGGACACAGTTACTTATTAGTTCATGTTCATAATTAGATATTAATCATTATACAATCTTCTGACAAAATTCAGCTTCAATATCTAGGAATATTGATAATTTAATTATATAAACATTATTTGTATATAGCATAAGGATATTACATATATCCACACCAGGTGGCTATACATCAAAGTACCATGTCTAAATTATTTTCCATCATTGGTTTCATACAATAAATATATTCGAAATTTAAATATTTCGCGTCAGATTTTATCAGTTAAAAATGAAGGCCCGTTTTCTAATGATCATGGCAGGAATGACGCACAGAGTCCCCTGGCCTTATCGATTTTAGTTTAAAATACCCATTGGCCACACAATTAGATCAAATTATATAAAATAAATAGTCAAATGTTCGAATATAATGACCCATCCTCCTTATGAACCGTCTTTGTAGTCTCGTAAACATTTGCGGGTTCTCGCTTTAGAGGGTCCAATTGTTCATAGTGTCCATCTATTCTGTTCGACTGAATAGGTTGTGTCATTGTATGGGATCCTGTGCCATGGTATGTTCCATCTGGAATATATATTCTACCAACTTAAATAATACAAACTAAAAACTACAGATAAACATTGACATTTCTTTTAATTACATCGTTTTCATATTGATAAAATAATACAACGTTTCTACAATCGACAGTGATTAGATTGATAAACGCTTCGCCTGCAATAGCATACAGTTTCGGTCAGATTTGATTAATATACAGATACTTATGTCAATGTTGGCAGCTAATCGTGAAGTGAGAACATAATTTAAGTTATTTATATAAACATGGTTTATCTATAAAAGTGGGAAAGCAATAATATAGATATGTATTTATTGTTTAAATAGAATAACTCAATTCAGGCACTCGTTAGATCAATTACAAAATCGTGTTATTGTGTTTTTAAGATTTATAACTTATTCATAAATATCAAAGGGCCCCCTCTTCAAAGTAAACACGAACTGGGAATTTACAAAAAATATCCCTGTGGGGACTTGACATTACAAGGATTGTAAGTTTGCAACATTTTCAGAAAACATATTATAAATGGCTTGCATATATTTGAAATAAAAACATGAAATTCCAAAATACCTGAGTTTTTCTGTAAATCACTTTGTCTGACCGACTCAGACACATTTGTAATATGAGTAAGTCTTCTATCCTCTCCTTTGTTCCTTGACGAACGTCTAATCAATAGGATGACTACTATGACCAGAGCCATAATGATCACTCCAAATGCGACCCCTATTCCAGCTGCAGTGTTATTAAAACTATCCGGCTGTGATGATACTGTAATACAAAAAACAATAAAGTCTTACATACAAAATTATGAAATACAAATTGAAATGCATACTTTATTGTCACATTCCATATAATATATTTTAGCTGTACTTACCGATATACCTAGGTTACGTGTTGACATAGTGCTACGCTATGAGATCACTGCTGTATAATGCTATATATATTCAACGCATTTGGTTTATAATTAACACGTGACCAATATCCATCCTCACTAATTAATTGGATGATATTTCTTGAGTTTAATAATTAACTTGCACAGTAACAAGTAGTCTGCTCATACGTTATGTGTACATGTGGTCGGACCATGCCCTTCACGGTGGTCATTGTCGTAGCCAGCTTCAAATCCTTAAATTCTATAATGCTATGATTAAAGTGTTTCCTCAACTACATTGTATGTGGGTAAAACAAATATAATACAATTCCCTGATTAATACTTATAATGTCAACTCGAGAAGTTTGCCACATGTTTCAAATTCCAGAATGTTACTTAAATGATATTTCTTTCTTTCATTACCTCAAGGTATGGAATAATGTTATTGTTTTCATCCCTTACTACAGTATTGCAGCAGAACCATATTTTCTACGCGAAAGATCCCAATATGTTACGACATCTCAACATAATAGTTTTATCATTCCTTTTTCCAACGTCATCGGAGCATATCTATTGTCGACATTGGAATTCAGCCATATTATAAAGCGGGATATCTTAATTAAAAACAAAAACAGAAATAAGATGCTTTCCATACATTTGCCTATAGTACTCAACTGCATGCGTTGTTTCCTTACGGAAAATGTCTCCTTGATAATGACCTGTTTTTCTAAACAGAACATTACTTTCATTAAATTTCTGTACCCTCATAATACATTTTCCTAAGTATCAAACATCTATATCATTGCTTGTTTTCAAAACTGTTCGAAGACATTATTATTGCTTGGTAATACCTTGATTTTCATTGCATATATAATAAAGTCTGAATCCAATGTCTTACCATTGCATACTCCATCGATTTGTTGACAACTATTGTCTTTACATCTACCCGGACAATCCGATGAACAGTATGGGCCGTACTTTCCAGGAGTGCATTCTGAAACATATGTATTAATTAAATTTACAATTCATAAGATTCTGTCGTTGATTTAATTTAAGTTTGGAAGTTCTTTCCATGATAAGTGTATCTCAATAGGAACATAAAACAGTATATAGTACTGTATTACTAATAAAACTACTTTCTATTTATTTTCAGACATGTAAACACCAGATCCAGTGCTCAACGATAAACCGGTAGATACACAATATCAAGAGATCCACACCGTAGTAACGCTATGATACATAAATAACGGAACTGCTATAGCAATATACTATTCCTCTTAATTTAAAAAGCATGGGCTATCGTCATTAAAGTGAATATCATTATATGGGCTCTGGTGGCCGCTCACAGCAGTCTGACCTATTACCTCATTCGCTATTCACTCAAAAATCCAATTAAATTTAATATTATCGTAAATATTACAATACTGACTTAATAGCACATTTTAGTTATAAGTATGATGACATTATCCCACCAGTTATATATATATATATTTATATAAAGTTTTGAAGTCTCAAGTCTTTATATTTCCTTTATTGATAGACACCTGTCTCGTCTTTGCATACACGTTTTTGGAATGCTATATATTTGCCACATAAATATTTAAAATGTTCTGTTCAAATATAGTCCTTACAATAGAACACTAATTTATCCACCATACATGGAACTTGGTCTACCTCTTAAAGAATATAAAAATACCACTTTAATGTATTTGATTTGACATCCTAAAATTACCTGGGCAATATCCATTTTCCTTCCAGCATGATTTATCTTTACAGTTGTCAGAACAATCAAGGTCACACGCGTCACCGTACTTTCCATTAACACATTCTGTAATATACACATGCAGTATAATTTTAATAACATTTTCAAATAATGTCATCCATGGTGTGAGATTTGTACAAGTATTTTATATACCCCTGGGATAAAATACAACTGGGTCGTTTTCGTTACAAACAGATTACAAGGTTTAAGAATAAGAAAGTGCGTATGCATTCATTTGTTTAGTATCAACAAAAGCATATGTACATGTAACTAAACTGCGATGTTACTGTATACTTACCATAACATTTTTCTGTAGTCTGGTCACACGTTACACAATTCAAAGAACAGCTGGCGTCACATAATACACCTTTTTTTACCGGGAATGCATCCTGAAAACATGAATTGTCATGATTGTATTACACTGAAGGGGAAACAAAATTGCTCATGAATTATGATTTCTTTTTAAATAAATTTTGCATGTATATTCTAATTACCTAGGCAATATCCATTGTCCTTCATGCATGACTTATCTTTACAGTTGTCGGAACAATCGAGGTTGCACACGCCACTGTACTTTCCTTTGATACATTCTGTAATATAAATATATAATATTCTATCACAAACATTTAAGAAATATGTCCTGTATTGTTCAATAAGTTAATATAAAGTATTTACATTTTATTACTATTTATATCTACTATGCTTTTAATAAAGCTCATTGTATTGATACATTTGCCCTAATTACTAAGGGTAAACAAGGTTAAAGGTAATGTGCAGTGAAACATTTCTTGCTTACGGTACATACATTGTGTTTCGTTTTATTGATCAAATAGTTTGATATTGACGGAATACAGAAAAATCGACCAAGACGATACATATCCCAAATCGGCCACTCAGGAAAATGTCGGCAAATACAGATTTGGCGCGTTACGAACGCATCCTGACATTTGAAAATTGTCTTCGTCATCATCAAGACATGTTTGAAATGGGCGGTCTAACCACAGTGACCTTATGTCACGCTACTGAACAGAGAACGGGAGAATGAACAAAAAATTTAAGGAATTGTCCCAATAACGATTTGAATGAAATTGAGGTGAATGGTTGGTATTTCCTTACAAACACAGAAGAATCACGAGACTGCAATTACAACTTCATATTCGACACGGTTTGTAAGATTGGACAGTCAGTCAGTGTTCCAAATAGAACGCCAGTTTATTTGATAAGCAAATTGTTTTAAGGCCATTGTTTTATATGAGAGTGACATTCTAGTATTAGAGTTGATACAGACGCCACAGAGCGACAGACTGATGAACTTTGTTTTGTGTTCGAATGCTTGAAAGTGAACAAAATTGACAAAATATTTTCCGTATCAATTCTGCGATTCTTTATCATTGGTCACAGGGTTACAACTTGGCCGACTACATTGGCCTCATGCGTCAGAAGTTGTCTGTCCACCTGTATGACAGACGATATGATTAAATGGTACTGTCCGGGTAAGTAAGTAAAATATGCGAGCAATAAAGATACTGTATAAATTCGAACCATGGAATTGTACATACAATTATAGCACAGACAAATTGGTGTTTTAATAATATTTATCACTGTATGACCTTTCCTATATATATATATTTTCTTGGTTTTTGGTAATAAACATATATATGGTACCGTATATTTAATATAACGAAATTAAGTTAGCTTATATCATTCAGAGAATAATTCTAAAAGGTAGAGGTTGAGGAAAATATACCTATCATCCCATCACCTCGTAATAGTTGGCATACCTGTACATAGGCCAGTGTTCTGATCACACGTTTGGTTAGCACAATTGGCCGAACATGTCTGATAGCAATCACTGCCGTGATAACCAGGGTCACATCCTGGATAATTGAAAAGGTGATCCAACTTGTTGTATTTCTTTTTATTATAAAACCTAATAATGAAGGGGAAAGATATGAATTTGTGCTAGAAACTTTGTCCGAACTATTACGCAGCGATCAATTCCTTATTTTGCATATTATATCTATATATAAACCATGACGAAATTATCATTAAATCAAAATCAAAACTGTAAAAGTTGCATGGAATATGGAATAAACCACATGACTGTTACACGAGTAGGAATAATAATGCGGGACTCTCCAAGAGCCTTTCAGGAAATAAACAATTCATAAGTCAATGGAATAGTATAAATTAAACGCAAAGAAAATGAAATAAACAAATATTTGTTTTGCATGTACCTGTACAGTCTCCAGAATTCTGTATACACAGTTGGTCTTTACAGTTAGCAGGACAACTCCGATCACAATTGTTGCCATGGAGTCCAGAATTACATCCTTCAAAAAAAATGATGCGTTGTAAGAACGGCTCCGGTTATTTTGTCAATTGTTTAAAACATATCATAATCACTATAATGAGAGTTACCAATTTGATTCAAATACACACAGTATTATCATTATATTGTGTATATGTTCTAGGGAAAATGCCAGGACCAGATTGAAATAGTTACTACAGATTGTAACAACAAAATAACACAATAAAGTGCATAGTATCTGGAATCATAGAATACGTACGACTACAATTTCCAAATGATTTGTTGCAGGTGGGATTGGCACAGCCAGTCGAACAGGGATTGCATTCGGGACCAAAAAACCCGCCTTCGCAGTCTGTCGTAACATATAAGACCTGCTTTTTATTTGTATGATATTTCAAAAATAATGTGTCCATGGCATGTTAACTGTTAAACTGCTTATTTCTTAATGCATATTAGCTCCATGATATGTATCAAACAACCAAACATGATTCACAATACGTCATTCAAATATGCACGTACATTACTTTCATCATCTGAATCATTCGTTTTCTTCATTATATTTTTTACAATGATATTTGATAATGATCACTTTATTATAGCTACGGTTACTTTAAACTTGATAGAATAATTAACTAATGATAAAAATATCAACAAATAATACCTTTGCAGAATCCATTCCCTTGGACACAAGTTTTGTCTTTACAGTTTCTTGAACATTTCTGGTTACAGCTATTCCCATAAAAACCCGGATCACATGCTGAAAGTGTACAACACTTACGACATTATCTATGTTTGCGATGCACTGCGAATTCAACGCAATATTACGATATAGTTTATGCGTTAACGCTCTGTCATTGATACACCGCTAATATGTGTTACAAAGGAGGTTCCCCTCTTTATGAAAATATGTATTTTATGATGACCTACGTCTTGCATGTAAATTCAGAGTTAACAATGACCATCTAATTATCCGTAAAACTGTATGCTATGCATCTGTTACTGTGGGTACTATGCGCGTTAGTAGGGAAGATATGACTTTACTTGAAAAAGGCAATACATAATAGATTAAGAAAGATTCTTTATCAACAAGGGATCCAATATAGGGAAGGAGATCCATGACTACACTATCAACACATAAGTTGACTACATTTTAATAAATCTACCTTCACAATCGGAATTGCTGGCATGACAGCTTTTATTTTGAACAATGTTTCTTTCAGCCATTCGGAATGTTATGTAAATCCAAACTGTATAGACCAGCTGTGCACGTAAATAGCATTATTAATGTAATTCGTGCAGTGCTATTCATTAAGAGTCGAACGTATCGAGAAATACCTAGCATCAATTCGAGCATGGATTCCAAAATACTTATGGTTTCAATAGAAGTCTATGAAGCGTACCAATATGTGAAATATTGATATACAATTTTGGCTAATTAGAGGATCTAGTTAGTGCGGATGGTCCACATTAGAATTAGTTGTATGATAAGTTATTAACACACAGTAATTCATAGATTTCATATATTTTTCATGTGTTCACATATTGGGTTGTTTTCACATAATGGCGAGCTACAAGGCTACTCCAGACAAACAATTGATGATTAGGACACATTTCTAAAGTGGGCAAATATATGAAGTTCAAACATGATAATGTATCTTAATATGTCGATAGACAAAATATTTTATGAACCATTATTCATGTCTTCAAGCTCTATTGCATACACTTTTATCGCAAAGATATCTAAGCTTGCTTATAACCAACGAATCGCCATTCATGTATGTCCTTGTTTCCAACGACGTAATACCAGCTACATATTTATTTTTCTGCATTACAATCCTTCTGAATACAGTAAACGATGATAATAGTGACCTGCCTTTTTTGTATTTGATTTCGAAACTACAAAAGAACACAACAGTTTAATATTCATTCCTTAACCTTCTTCCTTCAAAATAATTTCTTCATAACATACTACCTTCTTCCGTCTTATGTTAACATGTTGCACTTAATCCGATATTCATGAACCTGCTTCGAATACCACAAAATTAGAATTCAGCCTTACAAATTGAAGAAAACTACTACACTTTAGACGGACAATTAAACCAACTGAGCTACCAGTTTAAATTCAATTCCACTTCCTTCTGCTTAACTTCCACCCCGATAACACAAGTGACCCACATCACCGTCCGTGGTTATAAATAGTTGATCGCCAAGGGCAAATGGTTTGAGAAAAAGCACACGTTTAATTAAAGTTTCACCTAGCGTATGTATGGTAATGTTATAAGTCCATTGAAGGATAAAGATAATGCCAAATAAATAAATAAAAACCGTAGCACTGTTTTTTTGTTATTTTTTGTTATTAAATATTTATAAATAGTGGATTTCTAGGCTCGAATACTATAAGTGGTTTTATTTGTTTCTTACACGGAATGATGATGTAGAGTATCGAAATACGGTCCCTACAGGTAGGGCCTAAGAATTGTACCATTGCATGATCGTAAGAGGCGACTAAATTTGGGATTTTATCTTTTCTCTTCTTTCTATAAAGCTATCTACTTTCTCATGTCACCCTTGACAATGCCTCACTTTTGGCCTTTAGTTGAGCGCTCGTCCCTGTGAGGAAGGCTTTTGGTTAGTCCCCTGGCCGAGACATACCAGAGTCTGTAAAAAATGTTAGTGTCTACTCCTGCTTAACGCTCAGCAATTTAGGAGTGGGGCCACTGGTTTGCCTGTTGTCAGTATAATGTGACCGGATGGGGTGTCCTGCTGGATGTCTTCGGCAGTATGTTTCAGTGAGATAGCACTATAAATTCGGCATCAGTTTCGCGCTATCACAAGGAGACAAACAGGAACATATCGCAGCCTCCCAAAACACACACGCTTGCATCTTGCACACAGAAGAGACCGTCCTTAAATGATCATAGCTGTTGATAGGACGTTAAACAATACTAAACCAAACCAAACCGTATCGAAATACGTTCATAATAAAACAATACACATTCACAAGTCCCACTTCTGGCATTGCAAATGTTATTCAGACATAATTCAGAACAACTGTTGTTATACAACAATCCATATTTTCCGCCCGGACAATCAGAAGGAAATACAAGCCGGTAAATTAAAAGAAATACATGTCATTTCTAAGCCAATACCCACACTTACGTTTATTAAAAAAATCCAAAACAATTTTAATGAAATGCGGTTGTGGCTGTAAGAGTACCATATCTATTTTTTAAGTATGATAGAGGTAGCATAACGCTCAAAACTGTTTACAAGAAACATCTTACTTAAAAACTACATTGACTGATGTTTTGGGTTTGCAGTTGGACGGGTAGAATTATCATTTTATAAATCAGTGTACTACGGCCATGTCTACTGCCTTACACATGCCATTAATATCAATAGTTGTAGCCCAGTTTATCATAGAATGTTGCATCGCAAAGGTAGTATTATTAAGATTTTTTCTGTAATAAAATCGTATAATATAATCTATCTTGACCGTTCGTATGAAAGGGAAAATATAGAAATCACATTAATCTCTTTTCTAGATACGTTCTAAATGAACATTTTGTAAGGAAAAAATCGATTCAATCTTCCACACATGTCTCAATATACAACTGTGTATTTTTGTATTTGTTGTATTTAAGAAAATATCATTATTTTAATAGAATGTGTTTCTGGAAAACATGGTAAAGTGTGTGCAAGTAATTGCTCTGACAACTGCAAAGACAAATTATGCGCGAAGAGCAATGGACATTGTATAGGTAAGAAGTACATTTATATTTACGTTCACAAACTTAATGTGGTAAAAACGATATTTTGTTGTGAACTTTCACACGAATGATCACACGAAAAAAGAGAACCTATTAAAAGGGTTTGTCGAGGTAGACAGAAAGACAAAACAAAAAAATGCATTTGTTTTTAGTTGATGAACAGTGTCACATGAATTCACTTTATCTATATTCCATAATGATATAGTGTCGTTTTGAGCGTGTCATTTGAAACGTTAAATACTGATCAAGGAATCTATATACATGTATTCGCTACAGATATAATCATACATTTAGTAATAATAAAGACAACTATATCAGGTTAAATAGAATTTGTTTAATTGGGACGTAGCTTTTGTAGTTAGAATTGCAAACATTCGAGAACATGAGTATGAATAAGATTGTATAACTGAGGTGTTATCAATTGCCAAACTGACGAGAAACAGCGATTGAAAAAATATCCTCTGAAACATTTAATCAATATTAGAATGCGTGCATTTTTATTGCATAGTTTAATATTGTGAAAAAATGCGAACAAATAAAATAAGTTCACTAGGAAGCATGAAACAAATATTTATCTTCATATTACAGAAGAAAATTGCCAATGCAATTATAATAGGAATATAAACTTAGCAATCAATTTGTATTTATGAAAACCGTAAGCTGTTAATTTGTCTGTTAGCAGTCGACATTTATCACATGAATTATGATATTGGGTACAGCTCAAAGAAACCGTAGTACGGGAGGATACTAATGTTACTAACAAGAAAGAGAAAGTTCACAACACAGTACCGTTTTTAAATGAGAACAGTTTCATGAATAAGAGTCCCGGACGAGTTACGAGTCAAAATTTGTCTTTTTAGCAAGTTGTTTCAATATTTCATATATCTTTAGTTGTTTTTCAGTTTGATCACTATTTATCATAGTGTACAGAATATTAGAGGGTCCTTAAACAAGCGAGCGAAATGTCTAGATTTATCTTGTTTTGTAAATATCTTTTAAATGGGATATAACAATACTTATTACAGTGTTTTCCATATATCTAACTGGAATATTTTTCGACTACTTATGCCTTTGTTTTGTTTTTATTACATTTGGACCAGGACCTATTTGTTTTAATTACATTTGGACCAGAACCTATTTCAAGTTTAACAATGAAGTTAATGAGAGAAAAATAAGTTCTGTTATTTATGTAATCACCGGGGTCATATACATGTTATCATAGATAAATAAAAGTTTAATGAATTATACTGACACAATGTATAGCTGAATGGTCAGTCAATAAGTGAGTAGTGAATACAGTGTCAATACATGTAAGATGTAATTACATGTGAATGCATTTGAATGATATGTATAATCCTCTTGGTTTGTATGTTGTGTCTGTCTTTAGATAGTGTCGTTGGAGGACGGTAGTCTAGTGGTAGGACGCCGGGCTCGTGACCGAACGGTTGCGCGTTCGAGTCACGGCACGGCACTGTGTTGTATCTTTGAGTAAGATTCTGTACTCCGCTTGTTCCAGTCCACTCAGCTGTAAATGAGTACGTGGATGGGCAGTGCTAGAAATGTTGAATGCTAGCTATTAGCGCCGAAATGGTAACTCCGGCTGTATGCTCCCCAGGGAGTTGAGAAAGGTATTGGCTGGTTGAAAAGACCCTATAACCATGGATAATAATGTGTGAACCGCTTTGAGACAACCTACGGACTAGGTTGTGATAAAGCGGTATATAAAAACCTCGAAATATTACAATTATAATTAATTTATTACTAAACATGTATAACCCCATTTCGTATTGAATGCCTTCAACTTAATGCAACTCCTTATTTCCTATGTATGTTCATATTATTCATACCAAAACAATATCCTGTGCCCCTCTCACAAATGCTGTCTTTACACTTCGTGGAACAATCGTTGTTACAGTAATCGCCATACTTTCCTGGGAAACAATCTGAAAAAAAAAATGTTTATGTTACCAGAGCTTAGCAATATTCATTATGATTTTAATTATTCTTGTGTTAAGAACGTAATCCCCTCTTTTAAACAAGAGGCCTTATGGGTCTGAATCGCTCACCTGGTTTTAATCTCAAACTTGTAACCTTTGAATTGGACAAAAACAAAGCTACATGCAAACTTTGAGTATTTATGACTTTTAATTATTCAAACGAACATGTTCAAATATTTGAACACATTTAACCTCTGTAACTTTGAAAGAAGGCCAATGTGATTCAAATGAATAATACTTGATAGCCCTTTTATCCAAGCATGTTACTAGCCAAATAGGAACATTTTAGGCATTTGTTTATTTAGAAGAAGATATTGAAGGTATAAAACTTATTTGAACCATATTACCTTGAAATATAGGTAAAGCTTATTAATTTTGAATTCATTGTATCCCTTCACAAAGCATGCTACTGGCCAGATACCAACAGTCTAGGCCTTATGGTTATTCAGAAGATGTCGATTAAAGGTTTAAAACATATATGACGACTGTGACCTTGAATATAAGTCAAGGTGAGTTATCTAAACAAAATAAGTAGCAATTCATCTAAGCATGTTACTGGCCAAATAGCATCACTTACATCACCCTGTGCCTTTTGGTTATTCAGATTAATGTTTTATAGGATTTTTAGATATTTGTCTGATGTGACCTTACATTTAGGTCACGGTCATTCCTTTTCACAAACGTATCAGACCTTCATGCAAGCATGTCACTTCCCAAATATCATCACCTTTAGCCTTTTGGTTATTAATGAAAAGTCGTTTGTAACATGTTTATGACAATTGACTCTTGTGACCTTGAATAATAGGCAAGGTCATTGATTTGAGCAAACTTGGTAGCACTTCATCTAAGCATGCTTCTGGCGTGGTATCAACATTCTGGGCTTGATAGTTATTCAAAAGATGTTTAAGGTTTCCGACATCTTTAACTTATGTGATCTTGAATATATGTCATTGCCATTCATAAGAACAAACTTAATGGCCCTATATGCCAGCATGTTACTGGCCAGATAAGATTAACCTGAGCCTTTTGGTTATTCAGAAGAGGTCGTTTAAAGGTTTTAAACTCCTGACTCCTGTGGCCTTGAAATTAGGTTAGGGTATGTGATTTGAACCAATCAGGTAGCCTTTCATGCCAGCGTGTTACTTGCCTAATATCCTCACCATCGGCCTCTTAGTTATTATTATTTTTTGAAAGATAATTGACCCATGTGACTTTGAATATAAGTCAAGGTCATTGATTTAAACAAACTTGATAGCCCGTCAACCCGGCATGGTATTAACCAAACATCCTCATCCCGGGCCTTCTGGTGATTCAGAAAACGTTTTGACAATATTTTATCATATTTGACCCATGTGACCATGAAAATGGCCTAATTTTATTTATTTGAATAAACTTGGTAGTCCTCCACCCTAGCATGCTACTGGCAAATACTATCATCCTGAGCCTATTGGTAATGGAGAAGAATTTGTTTAAAGTAACTTGTTGACGCCGGACGGACGGACGATTGACGCCGCACCACGACCATGTTTTGGGCCAGGTGAGCTAAAAAGTAATTTTGTTGAATTAGTCTGAACACTTCTACCATAATTCATTGCGTATTGAACGGGGGCTATACGTTTTTTTCACCTTGATAAATGCCTTCTACAGGCTATCCGATGAAGAGCAATGACACAAACATTTTTCATCAAAGCTTTAAACAAATGTGGGGTTTTCTATCAAATCCTAAGATATTTTACATAGCAGGTAACCCCGGGCAATCTACTGGGACAGGCAGTCCGCAGACTTGATTTCCTTAACATGGTATTTTCAGGAGGTATGTGTTCAATATAACAGAACGATCAATACGTAAGAATTTTTGGTTTATGTTTTCTTTTGACGTATCTAGAAGCATCGTCAGGATTCGATTTGTATCGGTAATAGTCAAAGAAGCTCTATGCAGGGCTACACTTTAAATGCAAAACGCACCTTCACCTACTCTTTCAAACTTATTCACATTGATTGAAACCTTTCATGACAAATAACATGTTATTTAGTTTATAGATCCACAGGACGCATCTGTATAGAAATCCTACAGAAGATCTTTTTTGCACGAATCATTTGGGACATGTAAACTAAAAGAAACTTACAGAAGCAGGAACCGGTTGTAGAGTTACAGTTACCGCCATAACAATTTCCAGAGCACTGGCTGTAACAGTCACCATCACCGTAGCTCCTTACTGGACATCCTGTGGGGAGACACAAGAAAATATTTCTATAAAATTACACTAGCAATTTTAATAATGATATTCACCATTTTAAATAGCACCCTATCCAGCTAACATAAGCCACTGTAAAGTGCTTTAGAGTACATATATGCACATTAATCAATACAATTTGGAGTAATTCGCAGGAGCTGCCTTATCAGGCGCTAACTAAAAAAAACATGTACTAATCCTTTGCCACCTGGATAATATCTGCCTATGTGTGTATGCATGCGTGTGTGTTGGAGACGTAATGTGTTTTGTTTGTAGTGGGACCGTGCTTCCAATGACATCATTTAAAGTGCCACCTCACTTGAATGGTACAGCACAGATGCCGCAACATCCACCCCGGACCAATTTAAACTCCACCTGGATTGTTGGATTTGTGTGGGCAGGAGAAAAAACACCTTTCCTGAATATCCATGTGTACGACGACTTCGCGGATTGAACCCCGGCCGCCTGCTTGGAAGGCCGGCGTCCTTACCATTCTACCTATCCGCCCATAATTTTATCAGATTTTACAATACAAATAACATATAGGTGGTACAAGAGGGTCCATCTTCGAACCAACTGTTCTCAGTTTTAAATTTTCTGCGACGTGTATGATTAATGTATTGCATTTGATGAGTGTATTTTCTGTGTACCAAGATTAGCGAGTGTAAAAGCCAAGTGACCGCTTTGCTTGCACAGTTTCGTTTGCCTATTTATCGTTATATTCTCACCTATTTAAGTTGGTAAAGTCGTAATGAAATATCTTGTTTTTTGAATCCATATTTGTCCAGTCTGAACCAATGTGTTTCCTATCTAGAAGCTGTATCATTGCTATTTTATCATCGATTTACAGCCGAACTGTGAGCGTCGTCTTGTCGTGGTTACGTTTTGGCGGACTTTGAGCAGAATGGTTTCTTGCTCGCTGATTGATTAATTACACGCTGTTACCTGGGCGAGCGCGTGGAAATTGTTACAAAAGCAAAGTTCGAAATCAAAACACGAGCATTCTTTTGAAATCGATCCGGTTGTCAGGTCACCGTAATCAAGACCATTTTGCACCTTTAGCATTACTTAACATCTATAAAGGCGCAGAATGGACGAAGCTCAAGCCAATACCTTGACGCGTTTGGTACATATAAATAATCGCTAAATATTTCCCATCTATTGATATTGAGTACTTTTGGGCCAGCTGACGGTGAAGCATTCTGGGATGTTCCCAGCGTCACTAATCTGTACCCAAATCACATTTAAGATCTAATTTCCGACTTAGCCCATATCACGTTCTAAACTTACTATTCGAAGGGAAACAACTCTTGCTGGTTCTACAACTCTGGTCAAATACTGGTATTTTTACTGTAAAATTCTAAAGACCCATGGATAGATTATTTAATCCAGTTAAATATTACAAACCGTGAAAAGTATTATACTACGAGAAAGTGTGTGTGCATTTTTCATCTGTATATATGCCATTGATTGCTATTTCTCATAATTTAAATATCCCCATGAATTTTATCCTCTGTGTTCGTCAACTTCTTTAATCAAATACCGGAGATAAAGGATATGTAGATTTTATTAACTTTGCCTACACAAAACCGGCAAACGTAACAAACTTAATGCAGCAACATATAAAAGGCACTTATTGATTCTTTTTCGCCTCCATATACATTATATTATTTGCCTTTTTCTTAAATACTAAGATTAATGAAAGAACACTCCGTATGTTCATGGAAGTATCAGATGTTCTGTCCATAAATCTAAAGGGGTATTCGTGTTGCGCCTCAAAGTCTTATCGTGAACATTCTTAAGCTACGTAAGTCCAAATAGGTTTCTGAGTCTTGATACAATACGAATCTAATTTAAAGTCGTTAGCATAAGGTATGTGATTGTCGCTGTGTACATTAAAAATATAATAAAATTGCTATATCTGTTATCTTGAAGCTAATTAAATAAAATATTAATGGCAAAAAATGCATAACATGTGAAAGTTGTCTAATTCAAATGACAGTGTACGACTGACCTACATTAAGAAAATAAATGGGATATATTTTTCAGACACTCTTCTAAATTGAAGAGAACGCGGATTGATTTTCAACTCTTAATCCGCAGGAATGTGTATGATCCTTCATCTCAAAGGTAAACCCAATACCAATTGACGTTGAAAATGGAAATCGAATGTGACATAACAAAACTACGAAAGGTGAAAGTGACACTAGTATGTGCAAATACGTGTACAGTTCACTTCTTCATAATTATTGATCAGATAAGAGAATTCTAACTAATTTGTGTACATAACATTATACTTTAAGTATGCTTATCACTTGAAACTAATAACTATCAACATCAACATAACATAGTTTTCAATCTACTTCTCTTCTTTAATACATGAGGGTATATTTGTTTAGTTTTTTCGCAGGCGTATGTAAGCTAATAGGCCCGCTGCCTTTTGTCATATTAAAATGTAATTAAATAGTTGAAAATAGAAGGTAAAAAGAAGGTAAAATACTCACCAAATACCTGCACCTCACATAACATGAGAATGGCAAAATCATCATACCAGCTGTACCGTTTGGGGTTGTGTCTATAGTTGTAGACGGTCACGTACCGAGCTACATACGGGCACTGATGTGTCACCAACAACTGTACCTGAGCTTGAGTACTACTCTTGTCCTCATAACAAAGGACACCTTGTGTAGGGCTCTCGGTGGTGTTAGACAAGTACAGCTGATACCCGGCGAATCTGTGTTGGTAATAATCTATAACGAGGAACAATGGCGTGTTACAGTAATATTGATATATAGAATAATAGAAAACAGATAGACTATAGGCAAAGCATAAATACATTGCAATCGTATGGAGTTGGCGATTTAGAAAAGAAATATGTAAAAGTAACAAGCTAATGCTATGGTATAGTCTCTCTTTAACTACATACGTACAATTTAAAGACCACACCGCTTGCCTTGTAAGAATACAGGTATTTTTTGCTGTTAAAATCGGCCATCATAATATACAGATCAACGAGATGTGTTTCATTTGCCAAGTAATAAGTAATGTTTAGTCAGTAACGATATTGTTTATTAAGCATTGCAAGAAAAACAAAAACATTGATTATCAATATTATGAATTATTATAATTTATAATCTCCGGATTAACACGTGCTTACATTTTGCTTCAGCTATCTACCCATGGTGATTATTCCCTGACCGCTTGTGTGTAGTGAGGGGAAAAGCGCGTGTTGAAAAATGGACACGTGCATCTTGTTTTCGCATTCGAGGTGGAAGAAAAACATCACATGGGGAAACCACAGGGCATGTCAGTGAAGTAACAAAGTCATTTGTTTTATCAAAGACACATTTCTATGTTTATAAATGTGCCATTGTCGATAATTCGAAGATGCCTAAATTATCTCCTTTAACAATGAAAGCAAACTAATTTGTAATGCCAACAGTCATTTTGGAATGTAAAGCATTTTAGGTTCATATATTTGGATTTTACCTGGATAAAAATGGAAATATGTTTTGATGTAGTAGCAGACGCTTACTCTTTGGACCACGTACCGTGAAGTCGTATTCTCAATTGATGTTTTGAAGAATTCCATGCAAATATTTCCCTTGTTTATCTAAAGCAATAGCTTTATTTATTCCAAATGGCACAGTACCGCTTGTCTGGTAACCTAACTAAAACACTAGCCAGTAAGAAACAGGCACCTCGATTGCATATATATATAATCCAAGGAGTACATCTGAAATATATTTGATACTCGCTCCAAGGTTGATTAAATAAGGGGGGGGGGGGGGGGGAAAAAAAAAAAAAAAAAAAAAAAAAAAAANAAAAACCTAACAAATAGCTTGCCAATATTACATAAATTATAAATTCTGCAATTCTGACAAAATTCGCTTCCAACAGTGTAGTTTGACCTTTCTGAAGTATCAATTGTTTTCGGTTACAAAAGATAAAGTTTGGAGGGGAGCCCAATAGTAAGGATTGGTTGAAGGCCAAACATTACTTATTACCTATGGGCTAACTGTAGCATTTACCTGAAGTCAGACTGTACCACTTGTAGTCTGTTCAATATTTCATATTGGCCGGGTTTTAACATCACAATTTTGCTTTGAATTAAAAAGTTCAACTTGCAAATTGTTTGCTGTCCAACAATTCGACTTGGTTTTGTTTGTGTCTATTAGTAGGGTTTAGCAAGTATTCCAATCACGCAGTTTGGCTGGATGTTCTACAGCACGGTTTGACTTGGGTTTTGACAGTCTAGAGATTGGGGTCCGGTAGTAAAGTTTGAATAGGGTTTCAACATTACAGATTGAATGTAGGTCCATGAGTGCAGTTGGTTTGGGTATTTAACATTACATATATGCTAATGGCCCCACAAAGCAAATCAGATAGGATTTGAAATATCAGTTGTATCAAACCGATGCGTAGCTGAAAAAATGGACAAACCTACAGAACATCAGTTAAAATATGTGAATTCTTAAAGATGACAGTCTGCAACATTTTGTCTTTTGATTAATGTCTCGGGAGCAATTATTCCTTACCTGTCTTCCTATAGTTTATATACGGACACTTATACAGGTAATACAGCATAAATTCTTATTACCGGCGTTGTCTACAAGTTATGTTGAAGGCGACTAATGTTTTTCTATTTGAGTAGTTAAGTACAGTCTATTAAGTATTCTTTTGTAAAACAAATGCAGATATTATAAATCAGCCACAATTGCTATATTATATCAGAAATTGATATTGCAAATAAGCTTAAAAATATTCTCCCCTATTTCACTCGTCCTAATATGAAATAGTTAAATCTAAATTAGCGTGTTGCTCATTCGAGATAAAAGCTCGTTGCTCATTTACCTGTTACATTCCACAACCTACATCAATTCACACATATCTCCATATATTTATACAATAAGCATCCCCATTGAAAAATTATATTAAAAACTTACAATAAAAGATACGGTGTTTAGCAGACGAGCTCGAAAGAGCGCGTACTTCCAATATATATACTAGTACATCATAGAACACCCGATACGTCTCCACCGGAATCCTCACTCGAGATCTCACGTAAACAACCGAAGTTAATTTCATGGAACGCCATTAGGTCATCACTAGCATGTCGTTTGCAATTTTAAATTGATTTTGTTTTTAAAAATTGAGGTGATTTGAGTAATGAACAAACTTCAATGGGTACATTTTATTTTTAAACATGAAGCGACATTCGTTGTAAGAAAATATTATGCATACTTATAAATATTTTAGTTTAAGGTAAAATTGTCTGACCGCACAACGCACTAAAATTAGTTTGCACACATCATGCGCACATTGTTCGCACATGGTGTGCATAACCTTGGGATTTAATAATCGTTGCGTTTTCCCCCGCAGAAATCTTCGTTTTGGTAAAATTGGGTGATCAATATTACGGAATGAATGAAGGTACACTGTATATATTTAGTTTCTGAATTGACACTGTTTCCATTTGTTTCATTTTACACTTGTCAATTTGGGTCGTTAAAATAACCCAGAAAACAGCGCTTCTGAATTTAACAAAATATAGAAAGAAAGATAAATTACGTATGTAGTTAAGATTAAGTTACATACTTAAAAGTTAAATATACAAGTTTAAAAACAAAATCGTACTTATCGTTGAGCTATACCTAAATTTAAACGAACTACGATTGTTATCGCCCATTGTTCGTCCATCATACGTACAGATGTGCGCAAGGCTATACTAGTCTAGATTGTTATTGTGTGAACATCGTGTAACGTTGTGCGATCCCACAACTGTATACATGTAAATGAAGTTCGCCTTTACCAAATTAGATATACTGAAGACAATACACTCACCACTGTAATATATAGTGATCCTATTGATTGTTGTCAGCTCACCCATGTCTACACGCCACCAGGCCTGTGTTTGATCACCCCTTGTGTGTGTACAGCAGTTAGATCTTATAGTAGTCTTTGTACAGCCATCCACAACCTTACTTGCTACCCACCGAACGGTACTCTCGCTGCTCTGCTCAGCTGGCTTCAATAAGGCTACGTTAGCTGCAAATTTATTAAAAACAAATCATATTGTTAGTAATATTTCTATAATTTACAGTTGATACAGATATGATGTAACGTTGACACATCAAAGTAAGGATTAATAGTAGACATGAGATCATGAATGCCAATGATATTAACAATACTTGTTAAGAACTCGACACAAAAATAAGAGAGATTCTGTTTTTTACATGGTATGCTTTGTTCGGAAGAATTTACGTCGTAAACATTGGCGACAATGAGACTGACATGACGAGTTATTTCCGGAATAATTTTCTATTCTGATCAGGTAATGAAGTGAAAACTGTGCAAGTATAAATTAAATGGACGGCAAAGCGATCAAAGACAAATTTACTCGTGTTGGACTGGGGTTGTCACGTCATCACCTGACTAAAATACAAAAATATTCCTTGTATTCACAGTATTTCTCTGTAATGGCCCGTAACTATTTGACTCATTAATTTGATAAGCGAACATATATGTTGATTTTCAAATCATATTGCTTTATGCGTGTTTCGTTCGCATAGCTCCGCCCACTTGTATTTTTGTCAAAAATTATAAACGGGGGCATTGGACGGCCATCTTTGCCTTTTATTATATTGTGCCTGTGTTTAAAAATTATCTGACCAATTGTGAAAATGGATTGCTTCAAGGGGAACTTTTATCACCTCTACTATTGTCTTCATATGTAAATGATTGTGAAATTCAATTTTTAACGGACATTTGCCCATCAATATAAATACAAATATTGAATATGTTTTTACTTATATACGCCGACGACATGGAAATTATTTCAGAAACGCCAGAGGGCCTACAATCAATGTTAAATTCTTTAGAATCTTGTACTGAGAAATGGAGTCTTACTACCATATATTAACATAATGCAAGTTCTTTTGTTGTGTTAAGAAATGGTGGTTATCTTAGAAATAAAGAGAGTTTGACATATAAAGGCTTTAATTAAGAAACTGTAAATTAATTCAATACTTGGGAGTCTTGTTGAATTACAATGGGGCGTTTAGGAAAACACATTAACAAATTTCAGAGCAAGGTAGAAAAACATTATTTGCAGTTATGAGTGTATGTTTGACACATATGTTAATAGTATAGTATATATATGCGGTGATATGGGGTTTTCATAAAATCCCTGATGTCGAGAAAGTACATACTGTGTTTTGTAAGACATTGCTTGGTGTACGTAAACATGTTTGTTATGCCATGGTGTACTTAAAACTTGTCAGGTATCCTTTATCATTATAAAGGAAATTCAAAAAATTGAAGTATTGGAAGAAATTGAAAAGAAATAATAATTGTATTTTAAAAGCATGTTACAAAGAATTGGTAGAGAATAAGGATTAATGGAAGATGAGCTATACAGAATAGGCTTAGGGTATATTACGGAATATGATATTAATGACAACAAATTGTATTTATTGATTAAGGAAAGATTAATTGATATATTTAGAGAAGAATGTACAGAAAAAAAATATTCTCAAAAGCAAATATATTTAGATGTCTTTACGATAATTTTGATCGACAAAACTACATGTACCTGCTTAATCCTATACCAAAAGAACATCGAAATTACAAAAAATAAATTATCTTCTAATTACTTGAATGTAGAAAAAGGGCGATATCACAACATTGAGCGAAATCGTCGGGTGTGTAATTCATGTAATTTAGATGATGTTGAAGATGAGTTTCATTTTATTCTTAAATGCCCGAGTTATTCTGATTAACGAGCAAAATTTTTGAAAAATGATTACATTAAAAACCCAAGCACGTTTAAATTGATAGGACTACTAAGTGTGAAAAATACAAAAGAAATAACGAATTAAGGAAATTATATAAGCTTGTAAATTCGAGAAGAACTCAATTATTATAAATAGCTTAGTTGCGCTCTCCAAGTATATGCTATTGTTTCTATTTGTATTTGTGGTGTATGTGTGTATAATGTTGTGTAATGTTATTTCATATTTTGCACTGTAAGTATTGCACTTTTATTACTTGAAACTGATGATTCGAAAGACTCAAAGTAATAAAGAACTCGAACCTGAGCCTAATCTGACAACTCAGTTTCGTAATATTTAACCAGAAATGAAGTATCTGAAAGTGAAAGTAGAAATTTAGTGCCACCAAATATACGTCTGGTTGTAGCAGTATTTACACTTTTCTAAAAGGTTAAAAAACAGCAGGTCGATAGGGATAAATGGTGGATAAAGACATGTATTCCATATCTAAACGGAAACGATTACTGAATGTGAAACGTACAATTTAATCATTGAAATATTTTTATCTTGATTTTTTTCACTGATTACTCTTCAATGCTTCAAAAGTAATTTGATAAAATCGTATTATAACTCGTATAAAAACGGCCATAAGCCATCAATAGCAGATTCCTGAATTCCAACTCCTCTTATAACAAGGCTTGTAAACATAGCTAGTAACTGTCTCTATAACAGCGAATGTACGTGGTTTTAATGTTTATCACACACGTTTAACATACAAAATTAAACTTTTGATTAATCATGCATTTCACCAAAATTTACAATGAAAGTTACTTTCACACACAGGTTATGGCAATTTATTATTTCAGATTTGTAATACACATGTATTTACAATTACAGATTAGGAACATACATGCACTCCTATATTTATTATCACAGATCACCTATAAACTTCTGTTAACTTACCAGACATGTAAGGAACATTTATTTTTTCAGACTGGTTTTAGACTTGTATTAACTATCACATGTTATGGTTTTAGACTGGTATTGCACATGTATTTACTGTCACAGACATAAACAGGAAATTTAATAATTGCTTCGGACTGATTTTATACATGTATTTACTGTCATTCACATATACGAATATATTTATTAATTTACTATAACAGACATATAAGGATGATTTATTGATTGTTTCAGTCTGCTTATATACATGCATTTACTAATATAGACAGGAGCATGACGTTGGTTCCTAGTTCCTAGCTCCTAGTTCCGTTTAAGAAAAACGGAACTGGAAACCAGACCATAGTTCCGTTTAACATAAACGGAACTAGGAACAAGACCGTAGTTCCGTTTTAGATTAATGGAACTGGGAACCAGATCTTAGTTCCGTTTAAGATAAACGGAACTAGGAACCAGACCCTAGTTCCGTTTAAAAAAATGAAATAACACCATCAACAAAACTTCGACCAAAATACTAGTCCTGTTTTAGAAAAACATCATAGCCAGCCTCTTTTAATCGACTTGGAACTCAAATCTAAATCCAGTACAGAAATCGAACCCACAACCTTATCCACGAAAAATAAGAATACCATAGCGTCTATAAAGACATTGGTCTCATACGGAACTGAGATTCAGACTCCAGTTACATGTTTTCTTAAACAGAACCGGGAACCAGACCCCAGTTCTGTATAGTAAACGTATAAGTGTTTTTTTGTGTGTTTCTTTCCCTGTTTACCTCGAAAAAGGAAAGGTCAAAGGTGGTGGTTAAACCTGAATCCAGTACAGAAATCGAACCAACAACCTTTCACACGGAAATTAAGACTACCATAGCCTCTATAAAGTAATTGGTCTGATACGGAACTGAGATCCAAACTTCAGTTACGTTTTTCTCTTAAACAGAACCTGGAACCAGACCTCAGTTCCGTATACTAAACGTATATGGTTTTTTTGTAGTTCTTTCCCTGTCTACCTCGCAAATGTCTGAATCCAGTACATGAATCGAACCCACAACCTTTCACACGAAAATTAAGACTACCATAGCCTCTGTAAATGAATTGGCCTGATACGGTACTAAGATTCAGACTCCAGTTACATATTTCTCCTAAACGGAACTGGGAACCAGACTACAGTTCCGTATAGTAAACGTATATGTTTTTTGTAATTCTTTCCCCGTCTACCTAGCAAATATCTGAATCCAGTATAGGAATCAAACCCACAACCTTTCACACGAAAATTAAGACTACCATAGCCTCTATGCAGAAATTGGTCTTATACGGAACTGAGATTAAAACTCCAGTTACTTTTCCTCTTAAACGGAACAAAAAAATTGCATGCCGATTGCTAACTATTTACAAATAGAAACTGTTTATGTTCGGCTGCTTTTTTCGGTAACTTTTACTTACGCTTAATTTCGTGGCCTCTTAATCTTTTGATTGGTAGCAGGTACGATCATATTCATTCAAGTATTGTATATGTCATGATGGTGTTATTACATCATCTTCAAATGATTTACATCGAAGTATTACAAAGTTATCTTTTTTCCATCTTGCTTGTTTCAACTCATATCTTGATATATTTACATCGACATATCGTCAAATATATAGAATGAACTTTTCTATAGCAATTACCAAACAGTTTTTGTTCTCGGTCATTCTTTTTGCGGCCTGACGGAATAGATTTCAATATGGGAGGAAACGGAGTATTCGGGAAAACCCACGTGTTCGGGCAGGTGCCAGGGATCGAATACGCCTATCTTGGTGAAGACAAGCATGTTTTTTTACGATTTACGTTTCTACTTTCTCGTTATAATGATTGCATGCCTTGTTTAAAGGACTCCACTACTATTCATAACCTATTCACGGATTGTTGAACTAGTCGGTCAACCTCTCGCCCAATCGTTTATGTGATCTCGATTCAAGCGCTTTGCTGATAACTACTTTGTTTACAAGTAGTCTCGTTCAACCAGACGCTTGATTACTTGTAATTCTCTGTTCGGCGTAGCTTGCGCAGACAACAAGAGTCTGGTTGAACGAGACTATGTTTACAAGCAGACATGCAACATTTGAACAAACATGCAGGTTCCCGTCCTCAGAAAGAAATATTTCTGAACAGGGCTTATTGACATTAGTTGAAAATAGAGATTCCTGTAAATCCAAAAATTTTATAAAGGAAAGACAGAAAGGAAGAAATAACAATAGATGAATTTGAAAAGCAGAAATGTGTTGTGTTTTACTTTTATTAGTCAATGCAAACATTTGTTAGGTAGCAAAACAGTTA